TGAACTTCTGATTCTCCTGCCTCTACGTCTCACATGCAGGTGTGCTCCACCGAATCCAGCTTATGTGGTATTGGAGATCAATCTCTGGGCACCTTGTATTAATTAGGCAATTAATACAATCCCAGAAATACGGGAGGGACCCAAGAAACATGAGGTACATTGGGTTCACTAAGGCAGCTACCAGGACAATGTGTTCTTCCTCTTTCCCAGGGCCATGGCAAAAATGGACATTAAGATTGTAACATTTCCAGCATTTTCAATGTGTGATGTGCAGTCAACATTTCCTTAGGGGGTAAAAAACCCTCTAAATTTAAAGTTACAAAACCACAAATGTAAACAATAGACTAGCATTGTAGCTGAGGATATCACAAACACACAAGGAAACAATCTTGTCCAGGTGTGCTGGTGCACAACTTTAGTCCCAGCACTTGGGAGGCAAAGGTAAGAGGACTCTGTGAGTTTGATGCCAGCCTGGTCTACACAGTGAGTTCCAGGACAGCCTGGACTAAACAGAGACACATTGCTCAGACAACCAATCATTCAAACAGCATCCTAACCCTGCCAACAGCAGATGGGCCAGTCTGTTTGCCCCTCGGCACCTAAGGATGGTTGTACTGATCTTAGCCGTGTGCTTATCTCCTGAGTCTTCCATCCCACTGAGGTGGTGGGTTCTGGAGGGATAGCCTTGAACAGTTCCCTTACCCCATCTCCACAGCATTTATCAGGCCTAGGCACATAACAGACCAATCATCCATGGAAGATGAAAGACAATGTGTCTAAGTCAGAAACTGGATGGTAGAAATTAAGTCAGCCCAGAGTAGAGTTAGGCATTGTGCCACTGGAACTTGGTACACAGTCTCAGAGTCATGAAATGTGTCCTGTTGCTTGTCCAAAAAATAAAAATTAGGTGTTTTCTTCTAATGGTACCTCCAAGATCAGGTAACAGAACTCCCCACCCCCAAAAAAAAGATCAGCACAACGAGTCAAAGATTTTGAAGCTGGGGATTTACAAACCCTATAGGAGCTGAATGAAGAAAACCACTGGCCATCCTGAGGGTGTAAAATCAGTCTGAAGAGATCCAAAAAGAGCAATGCAGCCCACCCCCGGCAATGAGAAAGTCTGTCTAGCATGCACAAAGCCCTGGGTTCTACGCCCACTGCTACTACATAAACTAGATGTAGTGGGTGACACATGCCTATGTTTCCAGCACTTGAGAGGCAGAGGCAGGAGGATTGGCAGTTCAAGGCCATGCTCAGCTATGTTCTGAGTTCCAGGCTAGTCTAGACTACATGAGACCCTGTCTCAAAAGAAAGAAAGAAATGAATGAATAAATAGATGCCAATCATGATGGGATTATTTGGTGGTGTATGGGAGGTGTTTCAGTTGTCATGAAGTTTATGTGAAAAATAACAGAAACAAATAACAACAGATTGGAAGAAGCTGGAGGTAAAGGCAGGATGCTCAGGTGTTACACTGCTACTCAGAACCAAATCCTGACCTAACACAATGAGGTGGAACTGTAGCAGAACATCCCGCAGGGAACAGTGCATGGAACTGATCGGAACACCCAGCAATCATTTCGTTATATGATTTAGCTGTACACAGAGGAGACACATTCAACAGGAAAGACAGGTGGCTGTTTGAATAGGTGATTTGCTTGTATTTCCTATCACATATAATGCATCTGAACAAATCAAAGGTGGATTAGAAGTTAATGATATTTTTTAAAGGGAGAGGATTTAATAAAACAACAAAACTTAGAAATAAATGTTTATCAGCTGTGAACAGATTCCAGACCACTAAAGAGTCTTTGAACAGCTTAATGTAGAAATCACAGATATGTGAGTCACAATTTGAACACATAGAAAAAAAAAACTATATAAGTAAATAAACCACAAAGCAAAAGTAAACTATTGTATTTTAAATGTTGCACATATTTTAAAATACTAATATCCTCAATATATAAAGAGCTTTTCCATATCAACAAGAAAAAGGACCTACTAAAATGCATGCAAACAACACATGTAAAGTAACTACTACAGGAGATATACGCAGGCAATAAGCCCATGCGGTGTTCAGATTCACAACTGATGGGAGAGACTAAACGCACACAGCATGGGGTGTTTTCACCCTGTTCATTCTGGAAATGGCAGTTAAAAGCAGCACCACGTGGGTATTTTACAGAAAACATTTCTAGAGGTTATTTTGGAAATATACACTAAGAAGCTGACAGAGGGCTCACCAGCTGAGCCACATACACATGCTATTGGCTGCCGAAGAGCAGGTTGAGTGCAGGGGCTCAGGTGGGTACACACCCCAGGTAAGCAGACCGACAGTTAACACCAGAGGAGGAAAACCAAATCACAAAGGAATCTCCAAGGGAACCAGACACCCCAGCTACCAGAGCCTCCCAAACACCCACACAGCAGAATCCAAGAGCCAGGAGAGTCCCCAATTATCATGTTCAATTATTTGGTAAATAGCTACAAATAACTATTTTTAGCTTAAGTCCATCACACCAAAAGAGCATCAGCCCAGTCGCTCATGCTGCCACTCCTCACCCTAGTTTATACGATAACGGCTTCACACACAGGGAACTCAACTTTCAGAGAATAATTTAGAATATAAGAACTCAACCCAGCAAATGCGTTGATTTCCTGAGCAAAAAGCAACGTGTCATTTTAGATTAATGTCCAGGTGTAAGGTGCCAGTAAGAATTAAAGTTTCATGACGTTTTGGTGACAGAGCTGTCTCTTACAGTTCTGGACCCATAGTCTGGCTTTAGGACCCAAGGACTAGACTGGCAAACACCTGGGGGTGTGTTCTACAGGTCTTAGCAACTCTTCCTGGAAGCAGACAATGACATCATCTGACCGCCTACTGAGGGGGCCACACTGCCCAAGTATGACTGTGACCCTGAGACACCATGACTAATGTCACACCCCTACTTCCCTGTTCCAACTACAGAGCACAGAAAACCAACCAGGTGCCCTCACAGATTAATGGAGTAGAATGTTGTCAAGATCCCTTGCTAGAAACCTAAGGGTAGTGATCATGCCAACAGGTCTGACTCATCCCTCAGAGCCCAGTCTGCTCAACAGCAAGGCATTTTCTATGAATGAATGCGAGGTGAGAACACATAGCTCCAGGCTTTGGGGAGACCCAGTGAGCCGCCTGGTGCATGTGACCTTTGGTATTCCCACTTGGAGAGGAACATTTTGAGCTCCTTAGGACTAAGGTCACGCAGCACCCAAGAACTCAAGTCTCAAGACTCAAAGGTCCCAAATCTTAATTTTATTCACTGTTTCTTGCACTCACCATTAGTGTGTCCCTATGTAGGTTTCCAGCAGGTTCCTTTCTTCCACTACCTGGACCACTTCCATCTGCCCTAAGCCCCGCCCCTTCTTCCTGTCAGAGATCTTAGCCTTTCCACGGCTGCTATCTTGGACTTCCTGTATTCCTCCCCAACCAGCGAGTCTCTAGAACAACTGCTAGGCGTCTGTGTCCCTGGGTTCAGGAGTGTGGGGACACCAGAGTTAGTAAATGACTTCAGTCTGCCACTTAATGTATACGGAGTGCCAGTCATAAAGGACAAATACCTGCAACTTTTGTCAATTTAAAAATAACTTTCAAAATAGTACAGTCCCTTAACATTTATCCAGTGGGTGCTTTGGGAAACTCCACATAAAGGTTTGCTAGAAGGGGACATAGGCAAATGCTTGCTGCCACGAATTCAGTGGTAGGCAGATATTGTGTGACAAGTTAGCTGGCAGGTGACTGCCATGTACAGAGATTCTGGAGGTTAGCGATTCCAAAGCCACAGTGCCCATAATGTTTAGAACAAAACTGGCTGATGATAAAATCTCATGACTAAATGAAGAGGTGATGTTACATAATAAACTGTGGAGACTAACTTTCTCCTCCCTTTAGAGTTTTTCTTCTCGGGCACCATTATCCTTCCTTCCCACCTGATGCGAAAATGACACCTTCGTCCTGAGAGTGAGCGAACAGGTCAGAGAAGGCGTCACTTCACCTCTCTGGAAGGTGCCAATTTTTAGTTTGATTACTAACTGCCTGCAAGGGTGCTGCTGTTGCCTTTCTCTTCTGTTTGTAGGTAGGCAGCATGGTAAAGACTTGGCTGATTGATTTGCCCAACACCACAAGATACCAAAAGGCAGTGTCTGGGGGATTCAGACTCTCTTGTGTCATTCCACCCTCACCAACCAGTGCCATTCACAGCCCTGTGGAGTTTACCACACCGTCTTTAAAAATCATCCAGCATCTCAGAAGTGAGAGAACATCATTCCAAGAAGCCGACATGCATGCTAACATCTCCCACAGAGCCAACCTGAGAAGACTGGACCCAGTGGGAGAAGGGGCTTTTTGTTATCGGAAACAAGGGACCTTCCTGAGGAGCTTCCACGCGCTGACGGAGATGACTCCAGCTCTTTACCTGGCTTCTCAGAGACGCAATCTCATGAAGCCGCAAAGTGCTGTCAATCACCTACAGAGATGTTTTGGAGGCAAAACAATCATAATGCCAGATGCTGTGACTGCTTGGAGGCTGAGAATTTCCAAACACACCAAATTCTTGCAAAACAAGGCTTTCTCTGGTCATAAATGAAAAAACAAACACACGAGAATACAGAACACAGGTGCGTAAAGGAATGAGAGCTGCTAGTGAACACAGCACCTGACAGCTCAGTTACGTACAGGTCTGTGCAGAGCCCAGAGCTTTTTCCAGGACCATGGGTGTAGTTACCAGGCATCCTACCTTTATAACCCATTTCTCCACCACTGGACAACTTTACCTAGCTGATCCACAAACGAAACGGCGGCTCTCAACACCAAGACATAGCTGTAGCTTGCCTGCGGCCATTCACAGAACAAATGCGTAGAGCAAACAGCCTGAGGGATGCGGTTTCGAGCCTGCCCGAGGCTACACCATCTACCTGCTGCGGTACTTCCCTCCTCCGGTGCACCTGAGGAGTGAGCTTACCTGAATTTGGTGAGATGTGTAAACTGCTCATGTCCTTGGACAGGCCATTGGTTTTGGGGCTGGAGATGGGTGCACAGGCCGACGTGGCCCGGGGTGGCCTCTTCCCCGGCACTTTGACAGTGGTTCTCAGGAGGTCAATCTCTTTGCCGTGGACATTCTGCATGTAATCCTGTGTGAATGTTAAACACCCAAGAGAGATTAAAGAGAGGATAGGCTACAGTGTGGGACACAAGCCTATCGATGTCATGAGCTGTAACCCCGAGACTGCCATTTTCATCCGCAGGATGAGGGTAGTATCATTCGCATTTAAACTCAAGCTCAGCATCTGTGTCCTGGCCTAACCTAGGCCTGGGAATGTGGAAGACAAATTATCAGCACAAAATCCTAGCTCTCTGAACTCTTGCTTTCTCGATGCAGTTTAAGAGCCCGGGCTTGTGCTGTGACTTCTGAGTAATAACCGATGGGGATGGGAGGAAAACTCAAGAGAGCAGTGTGTCCAGAGTTTAAGGGTGTAACTAAGGTGTGCTGGCTAATTTCATGTCAACTTGACACAAGCTAGACTCATCTGAAAGAGGGAACCTCAACTGAGAAAATGCTTCCATTAGATGCTCAATTAGTGATCAGTGGGGGGGGGGGGAGGGGCTCAGTCCATTGTAGATGGCTCCATCCCTGGACTGGTAGTTCTGAGTTCTGTAAGAGATCAGGCTGAGCAAGCCATGGAGAGCAAGCCAGTAAGCAGCACCCTTCCATGGCCTCTGCATCAATTCCTGCCTCCAGGTTCTTGTCCTGTTTGAGACTCTGTCCCGACTTCCTTCAGTGAAGGACAGTGATATGACAAGTGTAAGCCAAACAAACCCTTTCCTCCCCAACTTACTTGTGGTCATGGTGTTTTATCACAGCAACAGAAACCCTACCTAAGACATAGGGACTGGAGGTATTTGAGGGACTAGCAGCAAGGCATTAGCAACAACAACAACACATTTATAAGTGGACACTAAGAAAAAATGCTCATGTTCTCCTTTCGCTTCAGAAGCAACGCTCATAAATCTCACCAACATTACTGCTTCATTGTGAGCTGGAGAAGGATGACAGCAACAAACATGCCAGACTGCATGGGAAAGGCCTACGAGTTCTCAACCCTACACAAAGAACTGCAGGCACCTGGGAAAAAGCTGGCAGCAGGAGGGGGCGGCCTTCTCCAGGGAAGAGCACACCAAAACATACATCCAAGTAACATGATATGGACTTAAAAGGTTTTCCTTGGGAAATTTATGTATGTAAATGCATATATGCATGCAAAAGCAACTGATTTAAAAAGAGGCCATGACATTGAAGGAGAGAGGGGAAGGCTAAAAGGGAGGGTTTGGAGTGAGGGAAGGGAAAGCGAAACGTTATCATTAAAAACCATCTCAAGAGTAAACAAACATATGCATGCCGGGGCTTCCATCTGAAAAGTCCCCACAGGCTCACGTGTTTGAACAATTGGCCTCTGGCTGGAGGTGTCATTTGGGAAGGTTGTGGGGCATTTAGGAAGTGAAGACTTGTGGGAGGAAGTGAGTCACCAAGGACTGGCTTTAAGGCTGAATAGCCTGGCCTCACTTCCTGTTCACTCTGTTTCCTGAGTACAGACACAATGTGACTGGTACCCTCCTGCTCCTGCCACCAAGCTTCCCTGCTCTGATGACTGTATCCCATTGGAACTGTGAGCCGAAGAAGAAATCCCATCCATCCAAAGTGCTTCTTTTCTGGCCTTTGGCCACACTTAGAAAGGAAACAAAGTAAAGCAAATCAAGAACCTAGACACAGATCCACCAGACCTTTGGCCCTTGTGTCAGAAGCCAGCAACTCTCAGAGGATAGCCTGGGCTGAGTCGCTTAACCAACTCATCATACACTGGAACAAACACAATACCTGTGAACAGCCAAAAGGAAGGGTTGCAGGCGAAGAGTTCAGGTAAGCATTCTTGAAAAGTACCATGTGCCAAAAGCCTAGCTGTTGGGCTGTGGTGCTTTTTGGGAGGTGCTGACACTTTAAGAGATGAGATCTGGTCAGGGGAGTTATGTCACTAGAGGTGAGCTCTTGAAAGGGACATCGGGAGGCTAGTCTGTCTTCATTCCCCTGCCCTCCCCTTCCTGATTCTGGCTGCTGTGAGATGAGCAGGAGTCCCTGGTCACCATGGGCTGCTACAGGCTCAAAGCAACAGGGTGAAGTAATTGTGGACAACAGTCTCTGAAGCTACAAGCCAAAATAAAACCTTCTACCACAGAAGTTGACTATCTGAGGAATATTCTGTCACAGTGATTAAAAGCCAAGGAGTACAACAACTGGGCCAGGCTGTGGGGGCTGCTGGGAACATGGCCCTCCTCCATCATCTTCATCCTCATTATCATCACTACCACCACCATCATCTTCTCAATGAGGCCACTTGTTTATAGACACAGCATTTTACATATCCGGGATATGTTATCCTATCACATATTAGAGGATACATCCTGAATTACTCTTAGATAATGTTTTGAGTATTTTAACAGGAAGCAGGACTAGGAAGGAAGCAGACATAGGCTTCTGGGTAGACCCAGAAATTTGTGTTTGTTCTTAGTAATTAAATTCAGGTTGGGGTAATGTTAGGAGAAGTGAACATCTAACATTTTTGCTGAAGGGTCCAGCGAGCTGGAAAGGGGAGCTGGCTGTTTCAAGCACCTAAGTGTTCAGAGAACAGATGCAGAGAGACAACCCACACAAGCAAAACGGGAGGGTCAGGGACCACAGTCTGCTGGGGAACAGCAGGGCAATGCATACTGACGGAGCTGTGTGGGCACAGTGAGTAGCATGAAAGTCATGAGAAATCTCCCAGGCCATCTAATTTAATTACAAAAGTGGCCAGCAGACTGAGTACTGGGAAGACACCTGTGATGGTTAGCCTTCATTGTCACCTTGGTTATGCTGAGAAGTGTCTAGGACAGGATGAACTGAACCTCAAGGTATGCTGTCAGGAAGTTTTGGAGGCTTAGCTGAGGTGGGAGTGCCATTGACATGGGTAGCATTATGCCACATGGATAAAGCCATTGCAGGATTTACTCTGGTTCCTGGCCACCACGAAATGAGCTGTATTTTCCAGGCACCATCCCCACAATGGAAAGATGGAGGTCAAAGATGGAGGGAGTTATCCTCATCAAGTCAGTCTGAAGGATAATGTGGACCCGGATGGGAGAAGCTTGGCCCTCAGGACAGCAAACGAATGTCCATCAGGTCAGAAAGAGACTTCAGCTAGGGCAAGTTATTAGAAAAAAAGGTTGCTCTCATCTCTAATGCCTGCCATTAACACCCACCCAGATGCAAGCTCAAGTTTCCAAACAGAGTTATGCTTGCAAACAATGAATTCCTTCTTGCACATTTACTCCTTTAAAATACCAACTTGCTGTAACTTTCTCTTTTAATGCCGATTCTTAACAAATTAAAATACAATAACAGGAGTATAATTGAGCATTTATTGCTTATGAGTTCTAAAATGAGGCTAATCAGAGAGTGACTAAGCCCCAGCGTGGGCTCTTTTAATAGGCATGTTTTAACATACAATAACCAGGATATTTTACTTAAAATTATTGTAGAAATGTAGAGTCTGCTTTCTGGATCTGAACACACCAAGGGAAGACATTTATCTTGAGCCCAGCATGGGCTGGCCGATCTGTTTTCTCGCCTGTGTTAGGCACTGCAAGCTTCAGATTTGGCTGGAAGAAACTTGAGCATTGGAGGGCTGGGAAGGTGGCTCAATTGGTGACATGCTTGCTGGGTCTGAGTTTGAGCTACAGCATGGCTGCCTCTGATCTCATTGCTGGGAAGGTAGGGACAGGAGCACCTTTGGGCTAGCTGTCCAGCCACTCTAGCAGTGTTCCAGGTGGGGAAAAACCCAAGACAGGGCTGGAGAGGGTCAGTGGTTAAGAGCACTGGCTGCTCTTCCAGAGGACCCGGGCTTAATTCCCAACATCCACATGGCAGCTCACAACTGTCTGTGACTCCAGTTCCAGGAGATCTGACATCATCACACAGAATATATACTGGCAAAACACCAGTGCACATAAAATAAATGGATAAATACAAAAGAGGCACACACTCAACACTGGACTGATAGCATCTGCAGGGTTGTTTTCCCAGGCACGCGCGCACACACACACACACACACACACACACACACACACACACACACACACACACACGAATGTACGCACGCACCAACCAACAGACATGCACTTGGCAATTCCTGTGTTTCCATTCTGCCTAGTTTCTTCTCCCAAGAGAAAAACTGCCCCAAGTTTGATCATGCTTCTGCAAGAATAGGGCCTTTTCATCTCTCCCCAGCTTGGTACTTGAGGAATTAAAGCTGCAACCACTAAACAATGTGCCATCTTCAGAAGCAGGCAGGATAGTGCAGACCCTGGGTGAGCATGAGGTAGGGACCTCGCTGGGTAAAATAAAGACAGAAAGCTTATTTTGATATGCAAATACTACTCAGCTACCCTTTTCCATGTTAGCTGCAGAAAATGCTGATCGAAGATAAAAGAAGGGGAAAAAAACCCTTTAACAAGGCATGAGGGTAATCCAAAGGCAAGTACTTTTAAACAGCACTTAACAAGTCCCTGGGGCCCACTCAAGAGCCAGGCCCCCCAGACGTGCCATCTCCTGCCCCTCAACAGCTTGAAAAAGTAGTAATTGCAAACCTATTTGCATTTTTTCCTCAACTTGTCCATGCTTATCATGTGGATTCGTTTTTTTTTTTTCTTTTTTTTTTCAAGCAGGCACCAGAGCAAAGGGACCCGTTCCCGAACGGGCCAACGGCTCAGCAGCCATGCTTTGCTGGCCCCCTGTACCCCGAGCCTGCACCTTTGCCTTCCCCTGTTTTTTACATTTTGTTCCTAATTATGTTGCATCTATTGCCGTACACTTAATTAGCTGCATTAATGTGATTTCTTTTCACATAGTCAAGCAATTAAGAGCTATGATTGAGTTTCATTCAATTAGCCTCAACAAACATGCTAATTGATGTCCCAGATGCAAATGAGGTGCGATGAGAGAGACCTGCTTCCAATTGAGAGCCACGTCAGAGACCCAGAGCTTTCAGCTTGCTGACAGAAGCATAGTTTAACGTGGCTCCTGCCTTCTGTGGGGATGGCC